AAAAGCGTGACTCCTTGGCCATTTAAATATGATTGTTTTGTGTTTGAGACAACGAGGTCGATCTAGGATTTGGTTTGTTTTGATGCCAAATTAAGTGACCACCCGAATGCCTCATAATGACCACTGAGTTTTTCAGAATGGTGTGTGACTTCAATTAGTGAAGAAAGGTATTAGAATCTGCTTGTTTCCTTTTAAAAATTATTATTAGTTTTTTTTATTTTTCTTTTGAGACAGGGTGTTGCTCTGGCCCAGGCTGGATTGCAGGTGTGGGTTATACTTAACTAACCTCAAACTCCTGGGTTTAAGGGGTTCTCCTGCCTCAGCCTCCCAAGTAGCTGGGACTACAGGGATGTTACCACGCCTGGCTGATTTTCTTTTTCTTTTCTTTCTTTTTTTCTTTTCTTTTTTTTTTTTTTCTTTGTGGAAATGTGATCTCACTGTGTCGCCCAGGTTGGTCTCCCAGCTCCTGAGCTCTAGTGATCCCACTTCACCTTCCCCAGTGCTGGGGTTACAGGCGTGAGCCACTGCACCTTGCCTCTGCCTGGTAGTCTCTTGCTGCAACAAGTTACCTCCAAATTTAGCAGCTTAAACAGCAAATGTTCATCATCTCAGTTTTTGTAAATCAAGAATCTGGGTGCAGTTTAGCTAGGTACTCAGGACAGAGTTGCTGTCATGATGCAGGCTGGGGCTGTGGTTCCCAGTTTGAGGAGAATCTTCTAAACAATGCAGTTCATTGTTCTGTGGGTCTCTCCATAAAGTAGCTGACATCTGTCATTTTGTCACCTAATGTTGAAAGTGATAATACCACTGCCCTATTTTATTCATGGAAATTAGTCAGGTCAGCCTGTGTTTGACAGGAAAGGAATTACACAAGTAAGAATACCAGCAGTGGAATTATTGGGGGCCATCTTTAAGGCTGCCTCCCACATTGAGACCATTTCCAAATCATTATCTTTTTTTCTTTCAGATCCTATTGAACAAATAGAGATAGTGGTTCATTAATGTAGCAGGGGATGGAGTTAGTGTACCACATTTACAAGATTTATATTTAATAATAAATTAACTATGAGAGTGTTGATATGAAAGCACACAAAATAGTTCTGTTACCTGTTTAAAACAAAAAGATTGACAGTATTTACAGTTGTCTGAAGTATGGTGGTGGGATGAACAATAAGTTTATTGAGTACTACCATGTGTCAGGCACTGTCCACGTGCTTTGTGTAGATTGTTTTAACTCTCCTGGCTACCCTATAAAGTAGGTGTAGTTAATTATTTTCCTTTTATAGATGAGAAAACCAATCCTAAGTTGTGCCCAGAGTCACAGCTAGTAGGCTGTGGTTTCCTAAAGGAAGTCAGGGAAAGAACCCAAGAAGATTGACCTTAGGATTTTCTCTCTTAACCTCCGTGTCACAGAATTTCATGAAATCTTTTTTAAATCCACCACCAAGATTATTGACTTGTCTTTATTAATACTGTATTTTTCCCCAAAAGAATACATTTATATATTCACTTTTGAGTTATCAAACTTTAGGTGTTCTAAGTTTAGTTTGATGCTAAATGGAGGTTGCTTTGAATATTTTTATGTTCATTTTTGGGAATGACAAAATATTTGCCAAGTGTATATCAGTTTGGAAATTTGCTTAGTTATATCTTTGATAATTTGTTTATATGTAGAATGTACTATTCAACTTGAATGTTTATGAATTATATTTTATGTCAATAAACAGAACATATCTCAAAACCTGTATAAAGCATGCATTCTTCTTCCCAATAAGGCTTAACTCAGACTCCATAAATCATCACATTCTGTGGCCTCCCAGAAGTATATTTTGAACTACTTGACACACTGTTCGTTTGTGGGAGGAGTGCATATGACAATGTAATAATAGTAACACACATATAAATAATAGTAACACATATAAAGGAATTGTTTTTTTGTAAAGGCTAAGCTTCTGCTGACTACTCTAAGCTGTCTGTTGATTCGTGTCCCAGACAATCAAGCTGTGGTTCTCAAGCTGGAATGTGCTTCAGAATTGCCTGGGGAACTTGGGCCCAATTACGGAGTTTTGGAGTATGGGCAAGGCATCTTCCGTTTTAGAAAGCACTCAAGTTACTCTGATGCAGGTAGTCGTAGGAACTAACTTGGAGAAAACCCTGGTGTGAGGGTTGGGAGAAAGCCAACACTCAAGAGGCTGAGTGTTGTGCTTTTTGGTGGTTTTTTGTGTGTATTTAACTGTTCACTTCCTCTTTTCTCTTTATCTCAATTTAAGAGTAGTGTTTTCCTTTAGCTCTTTATCAAGGATACATTTAAGAGATTTGAATAGTGGCATCTTTTCTATTAGATTTTCGTTAACATTTAATAAGGGTTGATGGAAGTTTGTTACATTCCAAATATATCTTTATAGAAAGAGAAGAAGTAGTTAGAGAAAATAGGCTATTTTGCTTATTCTCTGAATACTGAGAGATTCTGAATACTTTTTAAATGGAGGAGAATGAATAGTGACCTTGAATTTTTTTTTTTTTTTTTTTAAGGCAGCATCTCACTCTGTGCCCTGGGTAGCGTGCTGTGGCATCACCATAAGCTCCCAGGAATCTTAAATGCTTGGGCTTACGCAGTCCTCCTGCCTCAGCCTCCTGCGTACCTGGGACTACAAGTGCCTGCCACAACACTCAGCTAATTTTTCTATTTTTGGTAGAGATGGGGTCTCACTCTTGTTCAGGATAATTTCAAACTCCTCAGCTCAAGCAGTCCTCTAGCTTGGCCTCCTAGAGTGCCAGGATTACAGTCCTGAGCCACTGTACCTGGCCTGTGTGACCTTGAAATTTTAAATTTAGGGGTGCTTTGTCACACAAAGATATAATAATAGAAAACTGATGAAAACAATTTGGGACTAAAGATGTAAGAGCTAACCCATTGTGGAGTAAAACTATTAAAATCATTCTTGACAGTAGTTACAAAGGGAAGTTTTAAATATTTTTAAACCATAAATAATTTCCTTTTTTTAAAAAAAGTAAAATATAAAAAATGCCTTTGGTTTCCAAAATTCTCTTGAATATCTAATCAATTTAAAAGACATCCTTAAGTAATTGACTATTGTAAGTGGGCCGTGTCTTCTTTTGGGTGCTGTTACGGGCTTCCAGGATGCAAGTAGTCATTCACCTAAAGCAGGGCTGGCTGCATGGCAAGGATGACAGGGTGAGGTGTCTTTTTGTCAATCCCTCAGTGCAGGGCTTAAATTAGATTATTGTGTGTGGCCAGAAGGGAGAGGTGGTATTATCTTGGCAGGATCCTGAAATGTATAGGATAATGTTTTTCAACTTAGAAAAATGAAAGCAACTAACCAGAGTATAAGGGAATCTAAAGTGTGAAATAGGGAGGTTGGAGCTGGTTCTGTGGAGGAGGAAGAAGTGATTAACTCACAGGGTGGGGTGGGGGAATACTGGGGAGGAATATATATAAGGAGAGGTGTCCTTGGGAAGGTGGCAATTAAACTAGGTCTTGAAGGGTTTAGGAGAGAAGGCTGGGAAAATATTGTAGGGTGAGAAGAGGTGCAAAAGAGGACTGTTGGAGAGCAACAGAGGATGATAAGCTCTGACTGGGGAGCATGGAGATAGTGGAGATAAGCATAGCAAAAGGACCTTGAAATCCTCAACGCTGGGAACCTGTACTTCATTCAGTAAGCACAGAGCAGCCATTGGGATACTGTAGGGATACGAGATACTTTGGGATACGTGTGCTTGGAGTGGGGGAATAGATCATGGTGTGGCAATGATTTGACGTGAAAGATCCATCAAGTCTATTGCTGTAGTGCAGGCCAGAGAGGGCAAAAGTCCACATTGTGGCTGGGATAGTAGAAACTAAAAGCACAGTGTTGCTATTTATCTACACAGTAGATATATAGAGTATATGTATAGATGTATAGAGTATATATACTTTATCACAGTAGAAATTAAAAGCACAGTATAAGCATAAAAAATAGACAGTAGTACATTTGCTGAAAGGTAATCATAACTTTCACAAATAATTCATCAATACTAATTGATTTCCTACATTATACTATACTGCAGTATACAGGAATGAGTCAGAAATAGTCCCTGTGCTCTGGATATTGAAAATATTAACAAATAGACATTAAGTCACTCCATCAAAATTTTAGAAATAGTCATTAATAGAGAAGAATTTAAAAAGACTATGTAAAGTCTTTTGTAATTTAATGGTTTGATGATTTAATGGTTTGAAAAAATGTATTATAGTAGAGCTTACCAAGGTAACCTGGAATTAATAAATACTTGGAAATTGTTTAAAGATATCCAGCGTAGTTAAGGTACCCAAACGTCAGTGTTAGGTTAATATGGCACATTTTATGGCATGTTCAAACCTCACGTGTTGGGTATACAAGGTTGCATCATTGTAGATTGTTTTGTGCTGAATATTTGAGGGTACTAAAGCATATCAGGCTAATGCCATAGCAGTATTTGTATATTTGCAAGTGAAAACAACTTTCAGGAGGGAAAATAAGTACTTTTTGAAAAACAGAATTCGCTTATATTTCCATTGACTAGTTATTGGGAATGATCAAAGATAGTTTGCTCATTAGACCTAAGGGAGAAAGTATTCTTAGACTATTTCATGCCGTTAAATCTCTACAGATTTACAGTTTTATCCAGTCAAATTAATGCAAAACCCCAATGCAAGCATTTGGATTTTGAAATTTTGGAGGAGTGTCATTCTCTAATAGTAATTATTGGTTTTACATTATTTTTTCACAGGGGAACTGATCACAGCCGCATTTGAGCTTGGAGTAAGTATTAGTTTTATTGTTTAATCAATGCTCTCATTAACAGTTTTAGGAATTAAGAAAGTTTAATTAAGCATGGAGTAAAGTAGATTAATTTATTTTCAAACCCCAGTTTTTAGTAACTTATAAGTACAGTATGTGACAATTTACTTTAAGTTTTAAATCCAATTAAACTAAATTATAAAGCAAAGCCTTTACTATATATACAGTAGCTGCCTTATTATCACCCCAAATTTTGTATAAGCTGTGGAGAATAAAATAAATCGGGTTAACAGTTTTAATAAGTTTATTATTCAATAAACTTTATTATGGTGCATGATCCTTTTAGGCAAGACCTCGCGACTGTCAGCATGGTGGTAATCCGATAGCAGTGTGGTCTTTCAACTTTCTAACCAAGACAATATATTTCAGAACCTGCCTTTTTTCAATAGCCTTTTAAATGACCCTAATGTACTGTGAACCCAGAGAACCAACTGCGTAAGAACTGACAGTGAAGTATGTCACCATTTCTCTAGGTGACACACCGTGTGATAGACGCTGCCAAATCCATTAAAGAAAATATTTATTTGTATTGGCACACGAGGATTACAATAGAAAACCACTGTTCAAACATTTAGTCGTTGGCACATAGTCTTTAGACTTGCCTGAAAAAAGGGATGCTTTTCAATTAAAGCCAGTGTGACTTTTCCTTTCCTAGATGAAAACCTCGTAACTCTTGCTAATTTTCCCATAGGTTGCCCATCCTCCTGGCTATCCTTTGTTCACGCTGATGGCTAAACTGGCAATTATCCTACTTCCCTTTGGTTCAGTTGCCTACCGCGTCAATCTTCTCTGTGGCTTATTTGGAGCAGTAGCTGCATCGTTACTTTTTTTCACTGTTTTCAGGTAAAGTAGTTGATTAGTTAATTTTGAGCAATTGACGATGTAGATTTCTTATGGTCCAGGAGCATACATGAAAAAAAAATCTTTTGTTGCGTGAATGGCTTCCCTAATTCATGTGATTTCACTTTCTTAACTTACAATAATTTCATCTGCATTTGGCCCCTCCAGTAATTACACAGTTGGTTCTGCTGTGTACAGTGGAGTGAAGGTGTCACCAGTTCATTAACACTATTCTCTGGTTAGGCAGAACTAATGAGGTTTGTCTTTTTATGAAGATGCAGATGGGCCAGTTTAATTCTACAGTATGAGGTTCATCTTTTGGCAAATGGTAAATATCATTTAATTCCTCATTGCTGATGGGCAGCTGCCTATAAGGTTCAGGGCTAATGTCTAAATATATTGTATTCTAAGTATGAGCATGTATACTTTTTGAAATGAGGCTTTTCACTAAGGAAATCAGTTTGGGGTTGCTATCTAGTAAGGTTTCACTCTGCTCTATTATGGCTATAGGGAGGGTACGTAAATTAGATCCCACTTACTTCATTAATAGAAGACTTTCTTAGTTTGAAGGCTACCCTGCTTTTAAAAAATTGGTCCTTAGTTTAGGTCTTTGATGTTTCTCTCTCCCTCATTCTTAACTCAGCCTCAGTCTGTGCCTAAAAGGATTACAGTGAAAGATACAAATTATACTTCTTGTAACGGGAAAAACCAAATTAAAATACTTCTTTTAAGTTTCATTATTAAAAACAAATTATTTTTGGATGTAAATATGGTATAATTTGAATAGATAGAATTTCATGTCATTTTAGAGACTTGTATTTTTGTGTTAAAGTCATAATACTGCCCTAAATTCTAAATTCTCTTTTAATTATTTATAAAATGATAAAAGTTAACATCTTTATAACTCTATAAAGTTTACTTTTTAATCTATTTGCAAAAAGCTTCCAGATTCAAATACTATACCTTGATCATTTAGCAAATTTTTATTATTAAATTTGTTTTTATTTCAGCCTTGGTAGCGAAACTTTAAAGTGTAAGATATTTGCAGTGATAGCGAAATTTTTAAGTTTGAGATATTTAAAATAATACCTCTGCTGGGATTGCTTAGTGTTATGAATATTATCTAAATGGTTAGAATAACTGCTATCAGAATTTTTCCTTTTGAGGTTTTTATAATAGGGAATCTGTCAGTAGTTCCATTGAGAGAAAAACTGATCTTTTTTTATTTTTAAATAACTAGATTGAACAGGAGCTTACCTGTTCTGTTTTTAATGTGTGAGTTATTAATTTTCATAAGATATTTTAAGACATTTAAAGAAAATGAATATATAATCTGTCTTTTAGATCATTTATGTAGCATACATATATTTAAATGTTTGCAGATATAAATAGCTCTTTTTGCAAGTAAAGTGAATCATCAAACTTTGCCATGTCTTGTGACATATTGTTGATGCAGTTTCACATGAGAACCACCATAAAAATCATATATAAAAATCTTTGATTGATTATCCTTAGTTTTAGATTATCATGCTCGCCTGTAACCCTTTTCTTTTAATATACAGTGCTAATGACATATTTTTATATTTGCTGACATGTGTTTTAAATCAAAACTCTTAATATGACTAAATTGGGTATTGGAGTGATTTTAGTAGTGTAGTATGTACTTTGCAAAAGTTGCTGTCTTTTATCTCTTATGTAATTTTAATATGAGAATACTTCATTATTTTGAATACAAATAATTGACAAGGTACACATCCTTTGGGAACAACCTAGTTCAAGTGGCAAATCTGTTTTGTCAAACAATAGACACCCTTCAAAAAGGAGAAGCCATCTCTATGGTAATAGGACTAACAGTAGCCTATTGATTGAGTGGAAGAAGACATTATACAATGTCAGCTGGCTTGTTACAATTTCATTTGTTGTATGACCTGAACTTAACCTTTAAAACCTTCTGTGACTATAAACCCAACAGCAGGATACAGTTTTTGTACAGCCATTACGTTGACAGCTTTTTTCCTGTCCTTGCATACAGTAAATATATTCCTTTACAGGTTGACTCCTTTATGAGCATTTGATTAGGAAACATTTCACTACTTTATTCATTTACAAACCAAATCATCATTCCTCTTTGTTGTTGAATATTGAAGGGTTTTGAACCAGGATGCAGTTTTATTCTTTCTTTCCCCATCACTTAAGAGAACATTACTGTACATGTAGGATTAGCGCTGACTGGTGTGCAGTAAATTAATTCTTTTAACAGGTTTAGGTTTTTTTCAGGTTATTGTTCACATAGCATTCACTATATTTAGCTCTTGGGGTGGACATAAAGACTTTCTGTACCTTTTAAACAAAGATTTTATTTCAAAAGCAAATTTCTGTTTAAATGTGTTGATGTAAAAAGCTCCCTTTTTTCAGTAAACATGACTTAGATTGAAAGAACAATTTACTCCTCGTTTCCAATTACTATGTAATTTTTCCTTTCTTGCATCTTTCTCGTGCTTTTAAAAGCTGTAAGATGTCATTAACACTGCATTTTTTGTCAATCTTTCCTAATGGTTGGCAAGAACTCATGTGTATTTGCTTTGCTCTAATGTAGAAAGTGCATGAGTAAAACAGCACATTAGGAGCTGTCTGTGTCAATGCAGTTTATTGAATTAAAAATAGTAAGCCTGTGTCAGTTGTTCCCATGTGTATTTATTTATGTATTGTTCCTTTCAGGGGTATTTTTAAGCATGCATTATGTTAGGGGAGTTTAATCTAATACATTATGTTTATATGAAGTAGTGTTCATTTTATTAATGGTATGTACATCTGTGTTTTTAAGACTGTAATGTAATTAGTGATTTATAGGAAATAGATTTCCTTCTTCAAGGCCATTGAAGTAAATGACTTTTAAATGTGATAATGTGATATTTAAAGTTTCCTATTCTATTTGAAACTCATAAATTCTATTAATATTAAATTTAAAAATTATAGATAATATAACTCACTAATATGAATACCATTTAACATTGTTTAATACTTAAATTTCAAAATAATTTTCAAGGAAATATCAAGCTGGATCTTAAATGAATAGGGAAGGAGTACCGTCTTATGAAGTCACTATCCTTAAACATCTACACCCTCCCCCTTCATGTGTCCTGATATTATGAAAAGAAAGGGGAATGTTTGTTGAACATTTTGAACAACACACTCATGTTGTTCACAATGAACGTGTTGAACAACAACAAACATGTTGTTCACAATGTTTTTCATTGTGCAAAAATTCTTTACCTCAGGAAGATTTAAATTGCCTATAATATCAGATGAGGGCACTTCTGATATTCTTTATTTGGGTAGTTACGGAGCAGGGAGTATATTCTCAACAGGCTTAAGAGTCAGCATATCCTCTTCAAACTAGTATGGGCCAAATGGAACTAGGAAAGAATGTATTTAACAATATTTGCTGAGCACACATGTGAATTAAAAGTAAAACTCCTTGTCTTTATAATCAAAATTCATCGCTTATTTTAAAGAAAGACAAAGTCACTAACCATTAAATAAGCAGTTTTCAAATAATTTTTCTAAAAGGCATGATTTCGGGAAACTTGCATAAAAATACTTTCTAATACTATTAACACGGTGCAGTAAGAAATCAGATCTCTTAAATGCCAAGTAGGTAATTTAGAATACATGAATCTTAATAATAATTAAAGGTGTATTGAAACTATGTGGCTTACTACAAATAACTTATATCAATTTCAGTAATACATAAATATCTTTTGGCAGATTGCTTTGTGGGTTTTATAATTTTTATAAGTTATGTATTTCTAAACATTATGTTGCTGCTAAAAATTAATTTGATTAAACTTTTGGAAAGCAAAAACTTGATCCTGAGCACTGTGTCTGCTATTCTTATAGCTTTGGTTAAGATTCTATTCAGTAAAGAATAGAAAATTAAAATGCCATACCTTAGAGAATGCACAATCTCCTGCTTAAGGGACATTTGGATTTTCCAGCTCAAAGAGTATTTTAGATTATTGCCATAGAGAATAATGTGAAGCTTTTCCTAGTTTCAGAAGTAACTATACATAAGTAACAAATAGTCACCAAGTTTTTGTAGTTGAAGAAGAATGGAAAGTACTGGAGCATTAATTTCCATTCAGGAGAATATCTGTCTTGATCCCTGGGTAATTGATCATATATTTCTTTCGTACTTGTATTAAAATTGCATTGACTTAGAGTGCTTAAGCATATTAAGAGCTTGGTTCATTTGCATTTTCTTATAAGTAGAAGGACATATTAGGCTCAAATAGCAGCGCTTCATTTTGAAGGGAAAAAAGCAGGGCAAAAACTCTTCTTTAAGACTGTAGATTCTTTTCTGACAGCTAGTTAGAGTTAGAATTAGTTCAAGGAAATGTTAATAATGCACTGCCTGGCCTAATCCCTTTGATATCACCAGGTATCCTCCTGTTCATGGGTTAATTGCTTTAAAAGCGAAGGCAATATTCTGAGCGGTGGGCCGCTTCACCTTTTCACAGCTGTTACCATTGAGTGACAACTAAATCCCATGTGTAAGATGAGGAAGAGCTCAATCTCCAATTGGGAGAAAATTTATGTAAACCACAATCCCTTCAGAATGTGCGGAAGTCATAGACTTTCTTGATTTACTCTGCTTTTCCCAGAAAGCTCTATTGTTCACTTTCCTAAGTCCCATCAACCCTTTGTAGCAGAATATCACAGCGGCAGCAGATAGCTTGAAATATATAAATGCTATCATAGCTCTGATTAATAGCAGTGCTTATGAGTCAAGTCTGATAACAGTGCAGCTCTCCACTCAATTTCAGATACTGCTAATGGAATCTGTCTTCTCCAATTGTAATATGAGAAGGCCTAATTTGCCATGGAGCTTGGAGCTGTCACCAGTAGGGGATTGTGGGGTCAGATGGGAGCTGCCAGGTTTTTGCCCTGCAGCTTGTATCTCTCACTTTGAATAGAGCAGCCCCCTGCCTGCCAGTTAGCTG